GAATTAAGGAGAAACTTCCTGACAGTGAGGACAATTAACCAGTGGAACAGCTTGCCTTCAGAAATCATGGGTGCTCCATCACTGGAGATTTTAAAGAAGAGACTAGACAGTCACTTGTCTGAAATGGTATAGGTTCTCCTGCTCGAGCAGGGGGCTGGACTAAAAGACCTCCAAGGTCCCTTCCAGATTCTATTCTATTCTGTTCTATTCTATTCTATTCTATTCTATTCTATTCTATTCTATTCTATTCTATTCTATTCTATTCTATTCTATTCTTTCCAACATGGAAATATTATAAATAGCGTATAATTAAATTTGTAATGTGCTTTACATGTTTAAAATATTAAAAATGATAAATTGTAGCAAATAGTTTTAACATGAGACTTGGTTGAAATATATTGCCTACTAGAAATATATTCCACACAGACAAAAATATTGTTTTGATGACCTCTAGTGGAAGAAACATGAATATATTTTATATTGTTCATGTTCATCCCTAATGAAACAAGTAGAAGATCATCTGAAGTGAGTATGAAAATCCATTCGAATTTACACTTTATTATATGGCTGATTGCTCAGCACACACGAGGAGCTATTTATAGAGAGGATCAATCTCAAGTGATTAACTAAGTTTATTTTTAACAAGCTTAGATCTCACACCATATGAAAGGAAACACATAAAAAGAGGCAGAATTTGTTTTAATGGACAATGGTGGTTAATTATAGTTATAGCTATTGTTCTTTATCTTCTGTTTGGAAGTATCTTTTGAAGCCAGGTTGCAATTTACTAAACCTTCAGTTGATGCCTTCATCTGTTTTTCAATCTGACAAGTATAGACAATATAGACAATAATGGTGATTTCCATTACAAAGTGCTATGAAGGACTCACATAGTAAACAACAAAAACCCAGCATTACTTCAAAGACTAAAATGTTCTCCTACATGAAAAGATTCTCATTGGCAAATAGGTCTTTCATCAACAAAGAAATTTCTAGATTTTGTGTTTCCTAATTTGTGAAATAAATTAGAAAAAAGGGGAAAAACCGATATCCTGGAATACATATAAATTATTCAGTTTTAATTTATAAACTAAGAGGCATGATCAAATCCTAAAAGTTGTTGCAGGCACTCAGCTATCCAAAGTTACATGATAGTAATACGGGCTGCATATAAATTTAATAAATAATAATAACCAAAGATGCAACAATTGTTGATAAGACAGACAAAAAAGATATGGATGTGGTAGTACCTAGACACAGCATAAGAGAAAGAACTGGAGAAAAATCACAAAATAAAAAGACCTGCAAACAGAAGTAGAACAACTGTGACAAAAGAAAGCAAAGATACTATCTGAAGTGAGTATAAAAATCCACTTGAATTTACACTTCATTATATGGAGTCTAATTGCTTAGCACACATGAGCAGCTATTTATAGGGAGGATCAATCTCAAGTGATAACTAAGTTGATCTTTCCCTTATTTTAACAAGCTTAGATCTCACACCATGTGAAAGGAAACACATGAGAATAGAGAGAATTTGTCCTGGTGCAAATCCAAAACAATTGGAATACTACTTGAACACCATCAACATTGACAAAATCATTATCAGTCAATTGCAAAAGGCAGCAATTATTTGGAACTGCTTACATTCTATGATGATACCTTTAACACAATCAAACAATAAAGTCTGCCTATCCCAGGTCCTTGGGAATGACTTGGTAGGTGGCTAAAAATGCCAAATCCAATCTAAACATCTGGCTGACCGTGCAACAAACCACACTCATATTCTCTGTAGCCTGGATTTTGATTCTTGCAATATATTTCATGAGCAAATGTGTTTACTGTTTTTGGTTGTACTGTACTGTTCTTGTTTTCTTACAGCAGTTTGTGGCTGAATGGATTGTGCTGAATGCATTTACAAAAGACAGCTCTATACTGTTTAGCTATCTGGAGATGCCACTATTACATTCCAACAAATCCTATGTATATACCTGCACCTCTCGGGACTACACCTAATTACAGTGAACATTTTAAAAATAATATACTTTTGTCATTATTTGCTGTAAGGAAAATCAATATAACCAGGTTAGAAACTGGGAGACTAAAAGTTCTAGTCCTGCCTTAAGTACCAAGAAAGCTGAGTATAATTGTACAGTCAGTCCCTCTGAACGCTAGGAAGAAGACAAGGACAAGTCACTTCTGAAATCTTGGCAAGAAAACTGCAGGGACTAGTCCAGGCAGCCACCAAGAGTCAACAATGACTCAAAAGTACCAAACAACACCAACACCCAACCATCAGCTGTAATAGGCATATGACATTGGTTTGGTGAGTATAGTATGAAATATATCAGGGTTTGCTTACGAAGGGTTTGTCTTCTCACTGGAAATATATTGCTCATTGAGTTATATGCTTGCTTATCCTGAGTACGTGTAGCTACATCTTCCCTCATCTATCATTTGGTTGACTGTACAGTAACTACTCAATGAACGTTTGGGGTTCTATGACATCTTCTAAGAATTTTTCCGTTGAAAAATTCAAAGTTGCATATGTGTCCTCTCTTTATTGCCATTTATTTGTTGTAGCTTGAATACCTCAAATACTTTCCAGTTATCTTAAAACAGGGGTCTTCAAACTTGGCCCTTTTATGACTTGTGGACTTCAACTCCCAGAATTCCTCAGCCAGCGTGCCTGGCTGAGGAATTCTGGGAGTTGAAATCCACAAGTCATAAAAGGGCCAAGTTTGAAGACTCCTGCCTTAAGCCTTGATAATAAAGGAATAATACTGATAATATTTGACTTACAACTATTTGTTTAACGACTGTTCGAAGTTACAACCACATTGAAAAAAGCAACTTAGGATCAAGTGTTTATGAAAAAAACTCTTATGACTGTTGCAGTATCCCCATGGTCATATGATCAATATTTGGGTGCTTAGCAACTGCCATGTATCTATACAGTTGCAACATCTCAGGTTTATGTAATTACTATTTGCATCACCCCAGCCAACTTCTGAAAAACAAAGTCAATAGGGGAAGTCAGATTCACTTAATGACTGCATAATTCACTTAACAACTGGAGTGATTCACTTAACAGCTGAGTCAAGAAAGGTCATAAAATTGGGAAGAATTCACTTAACAATTGATTTGCTTAGCAATGGAAACTCTGGTCTCAATTATAGTTATAAATCGAGGACTACCTATAATGATAACTTCATTTTTTTCATTCAGTGCAACATTAGCCCTTCAACAATGACTTTCATTTTCTGTTTTTCTCTGCAGTACAGAAAGGGGGGAAAAAATTAAATTGCATTTGAGTATGAATACTGATTTTAAGAAAAAAATATTACAGGTCCCATTGTTGTGATGGAAAAAATATTTCATCCGGAAAGTTGCAAAAAATGTTTACTGAGGATAGAAGTTATAGATGAGCCTTTCCTTTGAATCACTCTTTAAAAAATAATAGAAAATGTGACCATGTGGAAAAATAGAATTAAAATTCTTTGTATCAAAAGTTTCTCATTTGTCTATAGAAGTTCTCATTCATCCCGGCCATGATTGTCCCAAAGGTGCTTTTATTTAGAGGCAACTGGAGTTTGTTTTTTTTTTCTTTAAGATGGTTTCACTTCACATCCAAGAAGCTTCTTCAGTTCTTACTATGTGACAGGACACAGATTATTAGCACCAAGGTACTTTCAACAACCATCAGACTGTTGACCGGATGTTTGCAGAGAGTATAAATCCCTTCCATGCCCCACAAGTTAGTTAAAACTGAAGAAGCTTCTTGGATGAGAAGTGAAACATCTTAAAGAAAAACCAGAAAGTACAGTTGCCTTTAAAATAAAACCATCTTTGAAGCTTCTCATTTGCTTTGGGTTTTCCTCACTTGCCTACTGATTTTAGTACTTCTGCCATTCACCAGAAGATTATTACTATAAATTCCACTGCAGATGACACCGAATGGATCTGGAATTATAATCTCTCATGCTTAAACATTAAACTAAACGAAGCCTAGTATTTTTGACAGGAGCACTGGAGGGATGTTTATGTCAAAAAGTCAAGGAGTGGTGTGATCAAATCCCCATCTCTTTTTATATGCATTGTGCATGTGATGTGTGAAAAGCCACAGAGCTTCAATCACACAATCGTGGCCCTCATCTTGACTTTTTTTCACATTTATAGACAACCCCACCTTGTGATTTCCACTATCCTCAAAGCTAGCAGAGTGCATGTACTGAAATTTAGATTAGTTAAAAAAGCAACACATAAAGCCATGATCAACATTCACAGTATTACCACCCCAGAAATTTAATGCTTAAATATTACTGGTGGGATGACGCATTGTACTGAGGCAGTCTGGTTTTGCTTGGTGCAACGTAATCAACCACTGGGGCTTATACCTTTATAGTTATGGCTAAACCCAAACAATTGTGTGTTGTTCAGGAAATAATGCTACTTATATTAACTTCACAATGTTTTATTTATTAATTAAATTTATTTTAAGGCAATGCTACATTCTCTTGTATTTTCTGCAGGACAGCTGAATCTAAAATCATTATATACACCCACATCCTACTGTTGCCTGTGCAAAACGTATTTGTAACAGATTTAAATTTTTACAGAAATAATCCCCTTTGGAGCTGGCTGTAAGCATCCCCATTTTCTTCTCAGATGTTGGGGGTTCTCCTCCCTCTTTCTTGCCAGCGTAGCAACCTTTATTGAAAAAGGGGGGAAAAAGAAGCCAGACGAACAGTCATTGGATTTGCCTTAAAATGATGGCTCTTTCCCTCATTTCTGTCATGCTCAGGATGGTTAAAAAAATATAATATAATATAAAAATGATGGTCCTGTGCAAGGACGGTACCCTGTGTGCTCGTTTGGCTTGTTTGTGTAGGCCCTGCAAGTACTTCACCTCCTAAAACATACACAAACAAACCGGGGGGAGGAGTAAAAGAGAGCGGAGGGGGGGGGCGGTTGTAAAATACTCATTGTGGAGAAACAGCTTAGAACGACTAGCTCCAGAGCTTCGGCTGAGCTCCGCGTTCCTCCTCTTCGGTTCTCAGCTTTTAAAGTGAAAACAATACGTCTGGGGGGAAAAAAAATCCCTCCCTTTCGCGCCGCTGATAGGCTCCGCCAGAATAGCAACAGGCCGGGTCACCGAAAAGGGCAAAGCCTGCGGCAGCGGAAAAAAAAGTTACTCGCGGATCGCCTTAGTAACTTTCAGATTTTATCCTGCTGCCATGAGAAGAGCGGTGAGACTCAACGCCGATTTGGAGCGCCTGGGGAAGGCGGCCGCCTTGTAAAGGCGTTGAGTCTCGAAGGGCCCCTGGGCTTTCTCAGGCTCCAGCCATGTTACTCGGGCAGAACAAGGAGGACCTCAGTCCGAAAAGCCAGAGCGAGACAGAAGAGGGTACCGCAGACAGAAGCTTTCACAAGCCTCCAGCTCAAACAGGTAAAACAGCCGAATCCCGATTGCGGGCATGCCTGCAGACTTGAGAGACGCAGCTAATGCACGTTTGTAACTTTCCAGGTCAAGAAACAGAACCACACGAGAGGCAAAATGCATATTAAGAAACAAAATAGCTCGGAACTTTTCCAATCGTTTTTTCACTCAGCTTTCTCATTCCTCTTCTTTCTTTACGGCGGTATTGGAAATAACACTGCCAGCATGTACATAGAGATCCTTTTGGCGCGTCAGAAACCAAAGGAGGCAAACGAGAAGAATTCTGCTTGTTCTATTTTAGCCTGTGAGCAATTCTGTGTGATGTATAAAGCTAAGCCACTGGAGGGGGGGGTATGTGCCTAGTCTTGATTCCTAGCGACTGCCTGGAAATCCCTGCAGTTTTCTTGGTAATGTTTTAGAAGTGATTTACTATTGCCTCCTTTCCAGGGTTGAAGGAAAGTCACTGGCTGAAGATCACCAGCTGGTTTTGGAGGCAGCACTAGAACTCAGGTCCCTCAAGTTTCTAGCCTGAAGTCTTAATCACTACTTATATCAACTGACTCTCATTTAAGCAATAGTAACTAAGTTTTAATACTGTTTTTCCTGGTCCAAGTAAGTCTCCATCTGCTAAGCACTTTGATCTTACCCTTGAACAATGAATGGCCTTTGCATCGTTTTGCGTGTGAGGTGCAGATTGTTTATCTTGCACTTAGTTTATTTCCTGCTTTAATTGGATAGACAAGGTGCCTGAACTTATTGTGAGATATAACCTAGAGTGACTGTTGTACACCATGAAAACAACATCTGCCCGCTTGAAGCTTCAATTCATCATGTGAACATGGTTGTCTTTCTAAGTGTTTGCTGATGATTTTGGCTCTGATTTCAGAGCACAGCAAGACTGGCATTATCTATGTTTTTAAAAACCCTTAAGACCGCAATGTCATTATTGTTTCATTTGGTTTATGCCTACTGGGTCTTTTGCAGATTTCCAAAAGTAACACAAAAGAGCTACATGTGGTAATATATTCATTCACAATGTGCTGATCCTGAGGATTTAACTTTCACATGACAGCTGAGATACTTGGAATGGCTTTGTGCAGATGACTGTTTTCAGTACATATACAAATGCATTGATGAAGCACTTCTGTTCTAGCCAGTGAATTCATAAAATGCTCTCTAAAAAGCCGACAGCAAGGAAAGTGGGAGGTTGGAAGAGAGCTTGTGTTAGTATGATAAGGACTAATGGGTATGATTGATTAACCTTGAACACTTGCTGGATTAGTTAATTAAGTAAAGAACACGGGCAAGATCAGCTGGCTCCCTTAAGTAAGCAAAGAGCTTAGAATTTCATAGAAAATGGCGCAGGAGTTTAACAAAAGAAGCTAGTAGACAGGTAGTCCTCAACACGACAATTGAACCCAAAATTTCTATTGTTAAGCAAGACAGTTAAGTGAATTTTGCCCCGTTTTACAGCTCTTCTTGCCACAGTTGTTAAGTGAATCACTACAGTTAATTTAGTGGACACTGTTGTTAAATAAATCTGGCTTCCCCATTGACTTTGCTTGGCAGAAGGTCACAAAAGATGATCACATGACCCCAGAACACTGCAACCATCTTAAAAATGAGGCAGTTGCTAAGTGTCTGAATTTTGATCATGTGACCATGGAGATGCCGCAACAGTCGTAAATGTGAAAAAACGGTCATGTCACTTTTTTCAATGCCATTGTGACTTTGAACAGTCACTGAATGAATGGTTGTAAGTCGAGGACTAATTGTAATTAGCAAAAAGAAAAAAAAACCCTTGGAGTAGGGATCCCTACCTGAAAAGGTCTCATGTTTCCATTGACTGCATCTCTTAACATCTTTTAACCTGACTTCCCATCTCACTGCAATCTCTGAAGCTACCAAGCTCACTTTCCTAGCAAGCAGCAGTGTTTTTGATGGGACCCATGTCAGTCCTTTGCTTTGTTCCATAACAGCAGTCTGCTAATGGCAGGGAATGGTACCCATATATCGAATGGGTCAGGTTTGTTGTGGCTTATGGTATTCTTTTGTTAGACTAGTGTTTCTCAAGCAGCCTGACAGCCAGTTTGGTCTAGTGCAGGGGTCTTCATACTTGGCCCTTTTATGACTTGTGGACTTCAACTCCCAGAATTCTCCAGCCAGTGTTCCTGGCTGAGGAATTCTGGAAGTTGAAGTCCACAAGTCATAAAAGGGCCGAGTTTGAAGGCTCCTGGTCTAGTGGTTAAGGAGACTGTGAGTTCTAGACCTGCCTTAGGCATAAAAGCTGGCTGGATGACTTTTGGCCAGTCACACCCTCTCAATTGATCTCACCACTGCAGGTTGTTGTGGGAAAAATAGGTAGAGAAATAGGTATATTAGTTGCCTTGAGTTATTTGTAAAAGTAATAAAGGTGAGAAGTAAAGTAAAGCAAACCTTGGCGATCCTAAGCTGTGTGGACTTCAACTCCCAGAATTCCACAGCCAGCATGTTGTTGCTAAGGTTGAGAAACTGTATTAGACAACTGGCAGATATCCGTTGCTCTCATTTAAAGAGACACCACACTACAGTATCTATCAGTGCAATGGATACTGACCCTTTTGAAGTTGAGGGCCTCAGCATCTATCCAAGAATTCTCAGATGGTAGGTATGGGCAGAGGTCAAAATTCCTTTGTTGATAATGGTCTGAATGTGGTTTAGATTTAGATTATTCAGTACCTTATATCCAATTATATATAAAATACTAGGTTTCCTCCCCCAAAAACCATTGATAATGTAATATAATGATGCTGTGATAATGGCTTGTTTTGTAATGCAACAATTAATTGATTAGATTTTGGGTTATTTCAAAGGCTTATTGTCCCATGACCATATATAGTTACAGAAAGAAGCACTATAGATGTTAATTTTGCAAGTAGTTGCATACACACATACACACAAAAGTGAGTAGTATGTAAAATTCCTTTAAATTTGCTGCATCTACTATAAAGAACACTATTATGTTGTTGCTCGTAATTTATATTAGGAAAGAATGCATAGAAAGCATTTAAAATGTAATCAGATCAGGCTTGTTTAGACTTCTCATTAACGTCCTATATTTTGATTAACAGAATGTCAAGATTTGTAGATCTTTAAAATGAAATGTTGGATTGGATTGGATTGCATTATATACATCATTTATTCCTAATACTTTTTTTGTGCTGTTTTCTACTCCCTTCTCGTTCACTTTGCTCTATTTCTGTTCTCTTCTTTTTGGATCATTAATTCAAATCAATGAGTCCAAATATATCCTACCTGTATATCTGATAAATCTGTCAATACTGCCTGCCTGAGACTGCTAATATTAGATGGATGTGAGAAGACATCATGTACCCAGTATATTATTGATATAAAGGTGCTACTCAGGTTCGCAAGTTAGAAGTTAGATTTCCTTTATTTGTTTATCATATTTAAGAACCACTCAGCTCTGTTGCAGAGGGACTCTGGGTGGTGTCAGTAAAATATTAAAAGCATGAAATGGTATATAAAATTTAAAAGAGACAAGGAATGTTAAAAGTCAGGGAGCACTTTCAGGAAGCTAACCAGGACCATGACTGCAGGTTCCTCTGCACACCCGAAGAAAAAAACAGAGCCATGTTTTTAGGCCTTTACGGAAGGTCAAGAGGGCGGGGGCCTGCCTCACTCCTGGGGTGAGACTGCTCCACAGGGCAGGGGCAGCGGCAGGGAAGGCTCTGTTCCTTGACCCCATCAGTTGGAATTCTTTGGTTGAGAAGGTCTGTAACATACTTTCCCTGCTTGACTGGGTGGGTCGGGCTGATGTAACGGGATGAAGATGGTTCCATAGATAACCCTGCCACGTACCATGTAGGGCTTTAAGAGTCATAACCAAGACCTTGAATTGGACCTGGAAGCAGACTAGCAGCAGAGGGGTTATATATACCATTCCTTGGGCACTCAAGACTGCCTGCAGCCCCATTTTTTAACCAGTTGAAGCTTCTGGATACTTTTCATGGTAGCCGTATAGTTTTCTTCTTTGGAAAGCCATCTGTGCAATGTAGTGAACAGGAGTAGATAGGAAAGAAAGAGAAAAAAATAGCTGCCAGAGTTTATTGAGTTGTCCCTCTTCATTGGGACGATGGAACAGCAATGGGGCTTGGGTGGAGCAAAGGCATTCTAGCCTCACTGGGAAACAAAACAAGTTGTTATTTTAGGAACATGATGTCCATCAATCTGAATTCATTGGCAGTAATGCAGCTGGGTAATTTAAGGCTGACTTCTCTACAGCCCCGTCTTTCTTCAAATGTTAAATGCATTTCTTCATTATGAAGTATACAAGAAATGCTTCTTCTCAGTGTCATTCCTGTAGCGGAGAAGATGCTGGACAAGACACTAAAAAGATCCAGTCTTCGGTCAGCCTTGAAAGCTCATTGACTGGCTAGTCAGTCTTTCTTAGCCCAACCAACCTCACCGGGTTATGGGGGAAAACTGAATGTCCAGGAAAGGCTTTTCACACTTTGGTCTCTAAAGTGCATATTTTCAGAAAGCTATGCAGTAAGTATGCGTGTGTTGGGGAAGGCTGAGTTCTAAATGTAAAAAATGTAAATCTAAATGTAAAATCCAAGCTATTGCAAGTCAGCATGGGCAACTAAACATGCTTATACAAGAGCAAAGGCAAGTGTCTTTGTTTTAAATTTATTGCTTAGATGTTAGTAAACTTCTAATAATAGAAATAAAAGAAGCAGGCATTAATCTTGTAATAAATCACAAGGCTTCATATAATTCTAAGAAGATGATGCTGTTTTTCATCAAGAATTTGCTTGGAAAGGAAAGGAAAGGGGATGGCTCAGATCCTTTATAACTCAGCTGTCCTAAAAAAGGGTGACAAGCAGTTCATGTAATGTTAATTGGTATGCTGCTTAGAGTCATTGTTGAATTGGGAAGAAATTTAAATGATAAATAAATAATTTTCTTTGTACTTTATTAATTTCTAAGTGCTTAATTCTGTAGGACCCGATGTACTGTCATTCTCAATGGGTGAGGAGAGTCTTCTGGAATTGGCAGCTTTAATGCATTTAATGAAATAAATAAATTGCATAATGTGCAGATTTTAATAAAGTCACATGTATGGGAAACTGGAACCATGCTAGATTACGTTTTCTTACTTGCATAATAGCATTTTAGACATCATCCCCTCCACTTTCTTCTCCCGCGTCTTTCCAAATGTTTGTCATTTGCCTATAATTCCCACTCCTAAATGTTGGAACCACTTGCAGAATAGCGTACTGTGTGTCCTAATCCGGATGCTATTTATTGTTTCTTTTTTAGGCTACTTTGAAATATAAATTTAATTTTCTGTTCTTGATTACTTTGACTGAAATATTTGCTAGTTGTCCATCGTTAATTTTTTATTTACCTGACTCTCTCCCTCCCCCTCAAAAAATAAAGTCTCTGGTGATCGCCATTTTCTCCATTAATTATTTACAGTGTCATTAGATTGAGCAAGCAACTACAATTTATCACCCTGTTTCCTTATTGCTGGCCTTTCTCATCCCTGGAGCATGATTCACCTAGGCCAATCATATGCTTTCCCATCTGTGATGAAATAGTTGGCAAAAGCAAGCAAAGAGATGAGAAAAGAGAATCCAGACAATACATTGCTACACCAGCAACTTTTTCTAACGCCATAGAACTTTTTAGAACTTTTAATAGAACTTCTATTTCTTTTTTTCTTTCTGGCCTTTTTCAGCAAATTCAGGGTCTGTTTTTTCTGGAGTGTTGATCCATTGGTTGCAACAAAAATTGACTAACCAGCTTGTCACCCGAGCATGATGTCATGGGCTGAGAGAGAGGGACTGGCCCAAAGTCACCCTGCTGGCTTTCCTGCCTAAGATGGGGTCTAGGTTTGTAGCCTGGGGCCTTAAGCTCTAGATCACGGGTGTCAAACTCGCTGCGTCACCTAACGCATTGCGATGTATCGTGAGTTTTTTTGCATTGCCGGAACTGGGAGGGGGTGCGGCATCGGCATGATGCAACTGGCCTGTGGGCCGGCAGTTTGACACTCCTGCTCCAGATCAAAAGAGAGCTTTGTTGCTAATAGAACTTCTAATGCCATAGATCATTACTACACCAGCAACTTTTCAAATATCATAGGTCTGCTAAGCACCATCTATGAAAAAAGGTTCGTGCAGTGATGTTGGCAGTTTTGGGTGTTTCCAAATATGGTAATTAAAACCCCCAAGAACTGTGCTAGCTTCCAGTGAGTTTCTGAGTACAATTAAAGGTGTTGTCATCACTTGTATAGCCCTTCATGGCACAGGGTCATGTTATTTGCTGGACCATCAGCCTCCGTCTGTCTTTGGTTTACCTAGTTCTTGTCTTTATTTGACTGGAAAGTGGGATGATTTTTAGCTATTGGGCATGTGTTATACCATTTTTGTAAACTATTTTTTAATCACTATGATTCACTGTGGTGACATGAGCAGTATACAGCTTATTTAATAAATAAATAATCCATTTTAAAATACTGTCAAAAGGTGAATAGTTCAATTCATAGCTGATAAAGTATACAATTATAACAGGTAGTATAAGAAATAAAAGAGTAATTTGTTTTTAGTGTAATAGATATACACTGAAAAAGGGTTCTCAATATTAAGTCAACAAATACGTTTTTTTAATTACTGTTCATGTTTATGTATTATTAGTATTTTTATGATTAACAAAAGTAAACAAAGTGAAATGTAGCAGGAGATAATTTAAAAAGGCCAAGTGAAAAGAAATCTAAAGGAATTAAACATTAGAATAGATTTGGGAAACAACGTATAACACATTTTAGGCAGAATGCACTCAGTAGTGTATGGAAAAGTAATCAACCTTTCTTCTGCTAACTGTTTTCAGCCATTATTATTGTACTTGTGTCTCTCCCTCCTCTTAATGATGAATACGGTGACCTGTAACTGTTCCTGGGCCCATTGTTTAACAACAGTGCAATTAATGGAACACACATTCTAAACCAGGGCTTTTCAACCTTTTCACCCATTGTACCACTTTTAGGATATGGCAATATCCGAGTACCACCAGTTGCATAGCAAGGTGTCAAAAACTTGATGACCCCCCCCCCAAAAAAGGAAAAAAGTGATAAAGTACAGGTAGTCCTCGACTTACAACAGTTTGCTTAGTGACTGTTCGAAGTTACAATGGCACTGAAAAAAGTGCCCCCGAAGCCACAGCCAAGCAAGACACCTGCCTGCCCACCCGGCGGTGCTCTTCCTCCTGTCCGAGGTTTTCATTGTTGTGAGCATTTCTGTTGAGGATTGGCAGCGGGGGTGGGGTGGGGGGGATGTTTGGTTTTTATTCCCTCCGTCTGCTGGGTGGTTGCAGCAGGTTTTGGTCACTTCACATGACCCTGGGACACTGTGACTGTCATAAATATGAATCAGTTGCCAAGCATCTGAATGTAAATCACAAGATCCTGGAGATGCTGCAACGTTCCAGCTGATCGGCGCTTCTTCTGGGCTCAGCAGAAGCTCCAGGATCAGTGCTGCTTTCCAGCTGATTGGTGCTTCTTCAGGGCTCAGCAGAAGCACCAGGATCAGCACCAAGCTCCAGCTGGAGCCTGGTGCTGATCCTGGCGCTTCTGCTGAGCCCTGAAGCCCTGCAGCTCCAGCCATTTCTCACTCAGGCTTGTGCGGAGCTGCCACTGGTTCAGCTCATTCCCTTCCCCCACTATCACTTTTCTAGGATGGTCACGTACCACCTGCCAGGTGCCAATGTACCACAGGTGGTAAACGTACCACTGGTTGAAAAGCCTTGTTCTAACCTTTAGAAAGACCAGCTTAAAGTGGATATTAAAATGTGTCTCAACCTATGTCCAATGAGTACAGTTAAATAGCATTTTATTTTTTTTATTCAGTTTTACCTTTAAAATCAGAAATTAAAGTAACTTCTAATATTCAAAGTAATGTGGACAATCAGCAAACGTAGGAAAACATTTTTTTAAAATCATAAAGAGTACAGCTTCAGGCCATATGGTTAAGCAGGTGCATAAGACTTACAAAACAGTCTGGTTAAGCTAAATTTTACACACACAGAGAGAGAGAAAGAGAGAGAGAGAGAGAGAGAGAAACAAAATTAAATTAAATTGCAAGATTTGGCACATTCTTGGTTAAGTAGAATATGGAAAATCATCTGCAATCTCTCATTTGGATAGTTTTTTATGCCAATGTATCTCTATACCTCTCCTATGAGGTCTTTTCTGGGATGTGTTATGATTTGTTAGAAAAACACAATCCAGTGTAAATAAATGGTACTAGAGTTATTATCTGAACAGTTTCACATCGCATACATTCCTTCAATGGGAACTTCATATTAATTCATGTTGCAGTTTAGCAGTTTTAATATAATTAACTTAGATCCTTTCCTAAATCTTAAATCTAAAGGATGAAAAAAGCGAGTGGAAAATTATTTAAAAATAAGAAACGTAAAACAAAACAATTACTTTCATAATAAAATGGTATCTTGAAATTAGTTCCATTTCTCAGGTTTCCAGTTGTCCATTATTCTGGCATCCCAAACAGTCCCATGTTTTGGCAAAAAAATAATAATTGTGGAGATCAAAAATGTTTTGTTGTGAATATTCCCTCTACGTGCACCATTTCAACCATAACCAATATATTCTATCAAGGACTTTTTGTTTATGACCAAGAATCTTGGGTAGGACTCCACTCATCTGCAGACCCAGCTTCCAGTCTGGGTCCAGAAAACTCTGCCACAGCTTGACCATGACTAACTATTTCCTTAGCTCATTTCTTAATTCTCTGGGCTCATACAGCAACATGCTGATTTTTGAAATAAGAAAGGTTAATCTATTTAAAACTCTTTTTATAGAATTCTCCATTGTAACTGCTAGAGCAGGGGTAGGCAATCTTGGTTCTTTTATGACTCGTGGACTTCAACTCCCAGAATTCCTGAGCCAGCCATTCTGGGAGTTGAAGTCCACGAGTCATAAAAGAGCCAAGGTTGCCTACCCCTGTACTAGAGCATCTTAGAAAAAGTATGGTTTCTAAGATATATTTACTGCTGCTACAAAACTAAATGGATTTTTCTCATATCCTTTAATTCCAGGTTGTGGAATGTTCACTCTCCTGTCTTCTGTCATTGCTGCCATCAGTGGATTTTTGATGGGTTATGAGCTTGCAGTTATCTCTGGAGCTCTTCTTCAGCTAACCAGCATCCTAACACTTTCGTGCCGACAACAAGAAATAATTGTAAGCACAGTTCTTGTTGGTGCCTTGTTAGCTTCAGTAACTGGTGGAATCCTGATAGACAAATATGGGAGGCGATTTACCATTATGTTGTCATCTGCTTTACTAGTTGTGGGCAGTCTGATTCTGATCATTTTTGCCTCCTTTGAACTACTTATAGTGGGACGGATTGTGATAGGGGTTTCCGTTTCCCTTTCTTCAACTGCAACCTGTGTGTATATCGCAGAGATTGCCCCGCAGCACAGAAGAGGCTTGCTTGTGTCTTTAAATGAACTCATGATTGTTACGGGCATTTTCTGTGCCTACATTTCTAATTATGCCTTTGCTAATGTATCCCAGGGTTGGAAGTACATGTTCGGCCTTGTTATCCCACTGGGGGTTTTACAAATAGTTGCTTTATATTTTCTTCTGCCCAGTCCTCGTTTTTTGGTTATGAAAGGTTTCGATGAAGCTGCTAGTAAAGTACTTGGAAAACTCAGGGCAACTTCGGACACTACTGAAGAACTCACCATGATCAAATCTTCCTTGAAAGATGAACACCAATATCATTTTCTGGATTTGTTCCATTCCAAAGACAACATGAGAACACGGATCATGATAGGGATTGCTCTCGTTTTTTTTGTACAAATAACTGGACAACCCAACATCTTGTTTTACACATCCACTGTTTTGAAATCAGTTGGATTCCAGAGCAATGCAGCAGCTACTCTGGCCTCAACCGGGGTTGGAGTGGTTAAAGTGATCAGTACGATACCAGCCATTCTTTTTGTGGACCATGTAGGAAGCAAGACATTTCTCTGCATTGGCTCATCCCTCATGTCGGTGTCATTGATCACCTTAGGATTAGTGATGCATAATATACATGTGAATGTCACCACTATCTGTAAAAACCAGTCTTTGGAAGAGATCCTGTTTCAGGGAGCAGGAGCCGTGACCTTCACCAATGAAACTTTTAAGGAACATTTTGCTAGCACGACTTTACCTGTTAGAAGTTCACGATGGAAAGGTGAAACTGCTGACCCAGAGTATCAGAACGGGACAACGTTGCCAGGAGACAAACCGTTTGCCAGAATTCATTCAGAATCCCAGGTTGCAGTTGAACCTGCAAAGGTGCAACCCTTTCTGAAATGGCTCTCTTTGGCTAGCTTGCTGGTTTATGTGGCAGCTTTCTCCATAGGACTTGGACCAAGTAAGTGTTACATATATTGCTTTGTATATTGTTCTCTCATATTTTGGTGTAGTGTTAAGATGCTTGGATTGATACTACTGAATAGGAAAGTTTTACAACAAAAATTGTAAAGCAAAAGCTTTGTTGACATGCCAAGACAATATGATGTGCCACATCTTCTAGGACAGTGGTTCTCAACCTGTGATCCACAGACATCTGGGGAGCCGGAATGACACAGAGGGTCTGCGAAGGCTTGAAGAAATATTATGTTTTAAGTCTTTGAATTAAGTCTTGGTAGTCTGTTGCCACAAAAGATATTTAAAGGGGGGTCTGTGGTGAAGAAAAGGTTGAGAACCACTGTTCTAGGAAATAGATTTGTTTGAAAGCAGTTGGATCCCCCAGATCAGTCTTTCCCAGCTTTGCAGTCACACATCTTAAGAGTTGCCAAAGTTGGGAAACACTGACCCAGGTGAAAGATAAATGTAATTTGGCCCTCAGAAAGGGTCTGTGACAGCTTGCCATGGCCAACTGATTCATGGCCATGGCGAGTTGGCCACAATGAGTTGGCTGTGGCAAGTTGTCCTATTCCCTTCAGAAGCTTCTGTCTATCTCACTAGTGAAAAATATTTCTAAGTTAGAGGATACATTTTATGGTTTAAGGATATGTTTTGGGTGGTTACCATAGATCAGTTCAGAGAATGGTTGCCATTATGAACATGGCCAGTCACAAAACATCCATTTATTTAAAAAGAGGCTGGTGATATCATGTGCCATTATTTCTTCTAGCTCCTGGAAGATGTGTACCATTGCTTTTTCTCAGGATAAGAAAATGGATAAGCTTCTAATCAAAGATTGGGCTGCAGCCATTTACTTTTTATTGGCTTAGGGATAGGCTATGTTGTGCCAAAGGCATTTTTGAAATAAAGACATTAAATTAATTGATGCTATGCTTTGTATAGCATCATTATATTTCTAATTGAAAACATCTTAACCAAAATAAATAGAATCTAGATAGGACAGGGAATGGCTGACTTCAAGGAAGATTTCCTCGGGAATATTAATACTTCAGGGCATGTTGCTATCTCCTAATCAAACCTACACCTCCTACCTTTGCATCACTGTGAACACAAAGTGAAATAATACTGGTGGCTGGTACCCACATCATAGTAAGTCATTATGTGATCTGTTTGAAAATAATATGACACTAAGATATTGTGGTTTGTAATTTATGGTTTATGATTCAGGTTTACAGTATGTGTGACGCCAACTAGATTTTTAAAAAGACATTAATTGGTTTGTAATAGAAAGGTCTTTTTGCCTTGTAAAAACCATGATAAACAAAGGGGCGGCTGATCAGCGTTGTTCTTGTTTGTGTTACGCGGAAAGTAATAAAAGAAATAAAGAGGGTTTTAAAAATCGGTTTTACATTCTTAAGTGTGATTAAATTCAATTCAGCAACTCCTTTTTGCTTTCTATTTTAGCCTAGGTTATTCTAAATTATTAGCAGCTAACGAATTCAGGCATCAGTACTCTCAAAAATGAAGAATTTTCTTTTCTTCATATTTGTTAGTAATTTTTTTGGGCACTGTGGCTCACATCTCCTAAAATCTCAAGAAACCTTTTTTCTTCATTATCTTTTGACTCCCTTTTCCGAGCATCAAGTGGGAATGAAAACTTTAAAATGTCTGTCTCATTAGCATCTTTAGCAAATTAGATGTAATGAATAGTATGGTAGCTTGACTATCCAACATTGATTAAACCCTTCTTTTCACTTTTTACATAAATTCTACTTTGAGAAATGTCTGAATCACAATTATTAATACTTCTGTTGATGTGAAAGAACCGGTCTGCATCTCCAAGGAAGGCTCTGAAAACCAAACAAAACAGGCTTTTACCCTGTTCTGAATAATAGATGTGAAAAGATACTAACGTAAATTTTGTTGCTTTATATGTTGTGTTTGTAGGATTACTTAATTCAAATGCTCAGTGACAATGAATCAAAGCCACAGACTAGAATGGGGCCCGTTATATTCCAGTTTCTGTTCTATAATTACCTCATTCCAAACTAAAGTCATACTTGAATTTCTAGAGACCTGGACTCAGTGGTGGGATTCAAATATGTGAACAACCGGTTCTCTGTGTGGATGCCGCTTCCGAAAGTCCATTCTGGGCCTGGGCCAGAACTCAACAAAAAATTAGCTACCGGTTCTGCCAAACTGGTGCAAACCGGCTGAATCTCACCACTGCCTGGACTGTGTTAAGACTAATATATGGGCCTCTCGCTTTTTCATATCCCCTCTTTCTGCACAGAGCAGAGCAAGGAGGAGAAGCCCCCAAAGTGAGGAAACAGTATGGGAGCAACAATGATTTGAACTGGTTTTGCTTCCTTTTTAAGACTGAGATTTAGAAATTACCTCATTTAGGAGCTTAAGTTTAAAGGTAGCTAATTTTGAAATGTTACTGTTCCTCAATAAAGGAAAATAAGACAATGATTTCTAAAACGTCTGGAGTACTACTTCAACACCATTGGCACTGACAAAATCATTAATTGCAGAAGGCAGCTTTACTTGGAACAGCTTGTTTCCTAATTTTAATATTAATAAACAACAACATCTACCTATCTTGGTCCTTGGGAAGGATGGTAGGTGGAAGAAAATGTCAGATTCAGTCTAAATAGCTGGCTGACTATGTGACCAACCATAATTTTTCAACTTGTATGGCCATCCATCTCATCTAAGTGAATTTGGGTGGCTCAGAACAGGTAAAAACAATGGAAATGGGGAGGAGGGTAGTCGTTATTTAGATTGCAACTAAGCAACCAAGCATAATGGTGGCAATGTTTAACATCTAAAATAAAATTAAATGGGTGTCCCAGATACATGTTTAGAAAAGAATTATTCTCCCTGATCAACAAATATACCTAATGCAGTTGAGTCAATGGAGATGATAAATCAGAAGACTTTCATTTGGTCTCCATGCCTACTTGGGAAGTCCTTCAAGGTCATAGAGAGGCACCTTTTATATAAGTCAGCTTAGATTAGTTTCAAGGCACAAAAATCAGGTGGTTGTTTAAGACTTGGAACAAAAAAAACATTGTTTACTAGAGACTCGGATATAAGCTGCTTTATTTTTATATTTTAATCACAGTATCCAAGCCTTTCCTGCTTGGATAACCTGCTGTGGGGTTTTTTAAAAAAATGTAGCTGGATCATTTATGTGACTTTAAAAAACTAACTCCTAAAATAAATGTTCCAGTTTTATTATCTGTGGGTCTCCTCACTCTGCTGCTTCTAGAATCTCTGCTATACTTTAATGGAACTATGAATTATAAGATCAGGGTAGAAAAGTGTGAAACTTGACTAGCTAACTGATTTTATTTTATTGCAGTGTCGTGGTTGGTGTTAAGTGAAATATTTCCTGGAGGGATCAGAGGAAGAGCAATTGCTTTCACATCAAGCATCAACTGGGGGGTTAATCTCCTCATTTCATCAACATTTTTGACTATAACAAGTAAGTCTGCTGTGGCTGGGGAATTAGCATAATCAGCCTTTTTCTCTGCTTGGTATAATCCTTTAAAAAGGCAAAAATACGATGAATTGTAGCAACTTTGAGCAGAATTCCAGGAATCTGGGAAAGTCCAAAGAGTTGTGGATGCTTCATTGTTGGAGGTTTTAACCATTTGTCTGAGATAGTAGGAGGATTCCTGTCCTAGACAGGGAGTTGGAGTAGAGTTCTTCTGTAGCCAGAAGGATATGTTTAATATTATATGACAAAAATCACTCTTAGAATAAAAGTAAAGTAAAAGAGAGAAAATAGTCATTACCCCCATTTCCAAGGTAATTTGCAGTGTTACTTGCAGCATGTTTTCAAAACAAAGAATTGGCTTTCACTGGACCAATCCAGGACCTATCTTAGTCATTGGGGTATTGGATAGAGAGCCCAGTGCTGTTTTGCACACAGGTGTTTGTAAAGATGGCAACTATTAATGGACGACTTAAGGCTTGTCTACCAACCGGGAAGCTTCTATCATCTTAACAAGAATGGCTTTGTCATTTTAGAAATATATCTTAGGCCAGGGGTAGGCAACCTTGGCCCTTTTATGACTTGTGGACTTCAACTCCCAGAATTCCTCAGCCAGGCAGGCTGGCTCAGGAATTCTGGGAGTTGAAGTCCACCAGTCATAAAAGAGCTAAGGTTGCCTACTCTTGTCCTAGGCCCTTTTTACAATCAGAGCATCCAACAAATGTTTTATGTGATCACTGGACCCACAACTGGGTTCTTCAGCAGGCTTTGGAGGCAGGAATGATGTGAGCTCTGCTTCCTACTATAATCTAGCCATTAGTGAATGTAAAACTTTATGTATCCCTGTGGCTGTTTTGTACGATCTTGTTGCTTGTATAGTTTTAGATTTGTTTTTATAAATCGGAATGTAAGTTATCTAGTGTCATTTTTGACAGGAGTGCCATATAAATCCTGTGAATCAGTTGATCAGTCAGCCAAAAAGATATTTTGAAAAAATTATCAAAACAGCCTTTTCAGTGCATTAGGGCCAGTTCCTCAAATTATATTTCTAGCACAAAAGTATTTACAAACTCAAGAGTTCAGCTGCTCAAATATGCAGGCTCATTAAAAAACAGGGAACAGGTAGAACTTGCTTACTAATTGCCTCATGCAGCCACCATTGAAAGTTACAACAGGACTGAAAATATAATTTTGCAACCATGGCCCAAGGAAATGTCTTACTTGTTTTAGAAAAGGTAATATTTTCAACCGATCAGAAAATAAAGCAATGCGTTCTTTGATACAGATTTATGACATTTTATAACAATAGAGCAGTGCTTTTAAATATTTCATAATATCCTTTCTAGTATCTGCTATAACGTTTTGTTTTGTAAGCTAGTAATTTCTATATGTTGAAAATAAAACATACAGAATGTTTGCTGAGTGTTTTTCACTGTCGAATTGGTTTTGTTGTTGCTGTTATTCTATGTACTAATACTTGTACATTATAGCAAATCTTGGGTAAACTCAGATTATTTTTCTAAGAATTTATGCCCCTAAAGTATCTGAGTCAAACAATATTTGTTCTTTTTAGACCTGCTTGGCTTACCCTGGATATGTTTCATTTATGCGCTGATGAGCCTAGCTTCATTAGCTTTTGTCATTATCTGTATACCAGAGACAAAAGGATGTTCTTTAGAGCAAATATCCATGGATCTGGCCAAACAGTAAGTACAAAGCAATATGCACATATATTGTATTTGTTTACATACAAGTGTATTACAGGTAGTGCTTGACTTACGTCCACAGTTGACCCCCAAATTTCATTTAAATGAATTTACTCCATTTGACAACCTTTCTTGCCACAGTTGTTAAGTGAATCACTGTAGTAGTTAAATTAGTCAAAGTGTTGCTAAGTGGATCTGGCTTCCCCATTGTCTTTGCTTGTCGGAAGGTCACCAAAGGGGATCACGTTATTCCAGGACACTGCAACCGTCGTAAATATAATTGCCAAGCGTCTGCATTTTGATCATGGGGATGCTTACAATGGTCGTATGTGCAAAAAAAGTCACTTTTCTCAGTGCCGTTGTAACTTTGAACGGTCACTAAATGAAACGTTGCATGTCGAGGACTACCTGTACTATAATTAAAGATTCTGGCGAAAAAGTCATAACACATCTCTCTGGATTTATAACACTTAAAAGTTCCAGATGGTGATGGACGTAGGCTTGAACGTCATAGTTTTATGCTTTGGTGATTCTCTGAAATGGAGAACATCTGACGTCTAGTGGACAAGCGGTAACATATTTTACAGTAATAGAAAATAATGTCAGACTAAGAGTGAATGAAATTGCCAGCTACCCCCACAAGTTATGCAAGCATGTCATCTCTGCCCCAAATTCCAAACCTGGGAATTCTCCGTTGTGGCCCTAACTTTTCTGTCCACCTTTGGCCTTTTCAAACAATTTGAGAGAAGGTGCCATTCAAATAGGCCTCTTTGAAAACCTCTTTTGAAACTGGACAATGTCTTAACAGCAGCGCTGATGCAAAGATGTTATTATTATTAAAGTATACTGTAGCTGGTATGTTTGATTGATTGTTTTTAACTTTGCAGTGTTAATATTTATAAAAAATTATAATTTTTATAATTTCGTTCAACTGGGCAGGTTATATTGTGGAGGCAATGTATTTGGACTCCTGAGATAGCATAGCTCACTTTGTCGGCAAGAAGCCTCTTTCAACACTTTCAGAAAGCTTCTGCACACCTAATCTTGAGTTTGAAGATTATGTGTACAGAAACCTTGATTGGACATGTCAGAAAAGACACTTAGATCAGCATGTCACAGAACAATGCGGTAGCTTTAATTTGAACTGGGAAACTAGGGAAATAACTGTTGCAGTGGTGGCAATAGCCCTGCTTTAAGCAAGAAATATAAGCACTGAACTTCAAGAATTTGATGCCCTTCATCAGCCTATGTACACAGTGTCGTGGGAGTGTATCCCTTGCAAAAACTTACATACAAATTCTTCAAGAGTTTAAAAGGAGTAGAGAGTAGACGGTTTTATGGTAGTCAAGCAAAGCACATGAATAAGCATATTAGCTGTTTTAGAATTTACTTGCATAGATAAAAAATTTTTTTTAGAACTTCTCTTTAAAATCTTAAATGTATCATGAAGTATTCTGTACAAAGATGGAGCTGGCTAGATATTTGGGAAATTAAAATACCCAATATCTAGAGTGTACCACCTTGAGGAAAGCTGTTACGTATACCGTATATCAATATTCTTTTGAAAATGAATTGCATGTGATGATTATCATGACAGAAATATTCTAATCCCAACTGCTACCCAACATTTTTGGACTAATGCACACTTCTGGAATTTCGAAAGCCTATTTGCACATTTACAAAATAGTTGGACACACCCACCATGGCCCATATATCAGAAAGCAAGCAAAACTGTAGCCACCCATCATTTTATTTTCTAGGAATCTTTCTGGGATATATGTGGGGTTCGGAAACATTAATAGAAATAAAAGTATTGCTGGAAATTGATTCCTGATGCTTTGCTCCATTCTAATTCCTATTCATTTTTTTTTAAATATAGAAGAGTCTTAAATAAAATCAAGGACCGAGAGTTTGGTAATAGGTAAAAGTACATTTTTCCTTCCAAGTTGGGACCCAGGATCTCAAGGCAAAGCTTTCCAAACTGGGGGTTGCAAGTGGGCTTTGTGTATGTCCACTCCCACTCTGGCTGGACCAGGACATACATGGGAGTTCAGTGCTGGGCTCCCCTTCTTTGTGCTCATACCAGCAGCTCTCGCAAGACCTGAACCAGCTGTTGACCACTGCTCAAGGCAACCTGGCAGAGTCTTCATCCCTCTCCTCTTCCAGGGATGGCTTTTCCTGGATTTGATGCTGGACCCTGGTAGTGAATGTGCATATTCACTTCAGGAAACCTGGGCATTTGAACCTCTTGCAGAAAAACAGTTTTGCAATGGGGAGCCAGTTTGATCTCCCCCAGGGAAAAGCTGCTTTGGAACAGAGGGAAGGTAAGATAGTAAAGGAGTGTCACACAAATTCATTAAGTATTTTGCAGGGTCATGGTGCCCCAAAGTTTGAGGATCTGTGTGTGTTTAAGAACCTTACGTTAAAGATTGTGCTGAAAGGTTTCCTCTTTTTCAGAAAGCACGGCAAGAATCCTTTTTGTTGGATGGGCCAGCAGCAGGACCAGTTGATTGGCTCAACTATAGAACTTTCTAATAAAGATGCCAACGAACAGTTCTTCTAGGCCAAAACAGAGGCAGATGGCTGAGTCACTACGACCAGAACTAGCTTTCCTAAAGGACGAGATGGTAGAATTCATAGAAATCCTGCCGCTACATCTGAACGCTTAGTGTCTTACTCTAAATTAGCTTTCTCCTGATTTTATTTTAGAGGACTTTTTTGGTCAGTCAACGTTATAAAATAATGAAATTTGCACATTTTTAAACACAGAGCTGTAATGATATTTCTATGGAACATAATATAGTCGATAATACAAAATGAGAAATTTGTGCCAACTTATCTTTTAGAGAGTAAAATATTGGGGTCGTGCTCAGCACCCTTGTGCAACTGTACTTGTGCTTTTTAGGCCTCCCGGTATTAGCCAAGCTATTTAAAAGGAAGGACGCTGACTATTGCTTTGTGCTAAGTCGTGAACACACAAACTGTATTACAGGTAGTGCTCAGATTATATCCAGTTGCTCAGCAACCATTCAAAGTTAGGATGGCACCGAACGAAGGGGACTTACGACTGATCCTTGAAGTTGCGGCTGTTGCAGCATCGCCGTGGTCTCACGTGACCATGATTTGGAGCACTTGGCAACCAGCTTGCAGTTAAATCAGTTGCAGCATCCTGCAGTCACATGATTGCCATTGGTAACTTTTTCTGCCTGCTTCCTACAAGCAAAGTCAATGGGGAAGCTGGCAGGGAAAATCACAAGTTGCTCTCACAGCCGTGCTCTGCAGCACCTGCCCGTGGTATCTGCCTAGCCCAGGGTTAGGCAACCTCGGCTCTTTTATGACTCATGGACTTCAACTCCCAGAATAGCTTACTCAGGAATTCTGGGAGTTGAAGTCCATGAGTCATAAAAGAGCCAAGGTTGCCTAACCCTGGCCTAGCCTCCTGTGCCTTATAGAGCCTGCCCATGACATCCACCTGCCAGTGCTCAATAGTGTATGCCTATGGCACCTATCCGCCTGTAGCTGCTACCTGCTGGCCTGCTTGCCTCTCCTGTTCCCGTGTTGTAATCATGCGAGATCCTTGTTTAATGACCTGTGTCATTCTGTTGAAGTCCACAAGCAGTTGGGACTGTGGGGATTGCCATTACTTAGCCATGCAGTCACGTGACTTCACTTTGACCACATTACTAATGACAAGAAATGCCATTACCCAACTGAGTTATCATGCCTGCTTCACAATCTATAATGGCTGCCTAGGAGAATCTACCCTAAGGTCATTAAATCTGGGCAAACGGCAAGATCTGGATGTAGGAAGCTATGGTTAAATTTGAATCTAGTATTGAATTGTGGCTTAGAGTTACTTGCACAAGCTTATATTGAAAGCTACCCTTTCTTCCTGGAGCTGGAAAAATCTGATTTGTGGTTTAAATTAAACATTTTCTTTTATGTTTCAAGTGGTATTGACCTTAAGTTATGATCTTTTTTTTAAAAGCAAACCAGTAATCAAAACCCAGATGGCTTAAATCATGTTTTGTTCTGATTTGTCTATTGTAGAACTCAAAAGATTGCAGCCCAGGGCAACCAAAATGAGCAATTCCCCTTAGAGCAACCTTGCTGGCTGAGGAATTCTGGGAGTTGAAGTCCACAAGTCTTAAAGTTGACAAGGTTGAGGACCCCTGCCTTAGAGAAAGTGGAAACTTCTTATTGTACCTTAGAATAAAGACAAGTAAGGATAAAAGTCATGGTGGATGTTTAGAAAATGTTTGCCTGAACTATGGTATTCGAAATCGAGGTCATCCAATGGAGCTGAACAGTGGGAAGGTTTGCACTCGCTGCTGTGGGTGGCCTTTCCACAGTCATGTATTGGCTATTGTGCAGGAACACTGGCCTTGCAGTGCCATCGAACTGAGTCAACGCAGCTCTTCAGTGTTCTGACCTAGCAATACGCTGGGCTAGTTTAAGCCAAGAAATAAGGGCTTCCAGTTTCTTATTTATGTTCACACCACAGAATGAGCAGATAAGAACTTGAGACTTTTCAAGTCATATTCTGGTACTGTTGAACTATGGTTTGCTGTTAGGCTTGAAAACAACTTGTCTGTTTTAAATCATAGAGACTATACAGCAGTGGTTCTCAACCTTTTTAATGCCGCGACCCCCAACCGGTCGTAAATCGAGGACTACTCAACCGGTCGTAAGTCGAGGACTACTCAACTGGTTCAGCACCGTTTGCAGAATGGGACTTTTGGCGGGCTCAGCAGGAGAGAGACAGCCTGGACAATTCCTATTGGCTTTTGAAAGCCAATAGAATTAGACTCTATTCAAGAGAGTCTATTCTATTGGCTTTCAAAAGCCAATAGAATAAAAGGGAGTAGCACAGCTAAGGAAAAGGGGAAAAATGGTGGACTGCGTTGTCTGGCGATCCCCGTGAAATGGTAGTTCGAGCCCAAATGGGGTCCCAACCTACAGGTTGAGAACCACTGCTATACAGGTTACATTGGCCTTAAATAATGACCAAAACCTCTCTGGGTTACTGTCTTACAATTTTAAGCAGATTAGGAAATTCAAAGAAAAGGGATACTGTCTTGTTTTAATGGATGATTAGGAACTTGAGGCTTTTCAAAACATATTCTGGTACTATTGAACTACGGTTTGCTGTTAGGCTTGAAAACAACTTCTCTGTTTTAAATTGTACAGACTGTACAGGTTACATCAGCCTTAAATAATGACCAAAACCTCTCTGGGTTACCATCTCAGTTTTAAGCAGATTAGGAATTTCAAAGAAAAAGGATACTATCTTGTTTTAATGAATGCTTAAATGTGGAGTAGGTAGTCTTAGCAGGCTAGAAGCCCAGATGAGATGTAAGGCAATTGGAGGTTTTATCCAGTGATATGTACCCTCACACGTGAAAGAAACAGCATGTTTTTGCCAGCTGCACTACAACCACCAATGAGGAAAATCTGAAAACCTCTATTCATTATCTCATCCTTCTTTGGAAACGATCCTCTTCCTGAATAGCCCAGAAATTCTCTGGGTGAAAGCATTTCTAGATATGGCAAGTGGTAATATGATGGAAGATGGGGGTTTAAGACTTACATCAGACTACATCAAAGTATCTGCAGGTGAGTTGCTCACTTTTGTGTTGAGTCCATGAAGACTGAATCTTTTTTTTCTATTAGATTTCAGATTAAGAAATGAAATTATTGCTATAGTAGTCTTGAAGTATGTGATCTCTTTTCATTTTGGATGGGAAAAGACAATGATGTTTTAATGTTAGTAAGTAGACACTCTGAATCAGCTGCTTGTAACCTAAAACAGCTTACCGTTGCTCATTATTTTTGTCCCCTACCAAACAAGCATTTTCACATCACTGGCTGCATTCACATTTTGTACTGTAAAATTATAATCTAGTCTATCTTAATTTTTGCTCAGTATATGACGTGAACTGAACAACTGTGGTCTGTAAACCATGGTTTATGGCTTAGAGTTGTGTAAATCAGGCTACTGTAATTTCTTTAAAAATAAGGTCTAAAATCATGTCTTAGCATCATGAGGTCTAATCAACTGAGAAATGTTCCTAGTCTTCTGTTATTGTGAGCCAAAAACAATTCCTACCTCATTTTACAAGCCTTTAAGTATTCTCTTCAAACTTCTGGTTGCCAAATATCAGCTATATTGATCTGAGCTTTATTTGTATGGGAATGGTTTTTTTTTTTTTTTTTTGCTTTTCTGAGTTTCTTTCCACATACTTATGATGGCCACATATAGCAATTTTTCTGCTCAGCAAAATGCATCATTGACAGGTTCTTTAATTTTGAACAGCAGAGTCACTACTGTATTGAAGTCACTTTTGTGCAAATGAATCCATGTGAGAAACAGAATACTAATTATAATTTCATTTTAAGGAACTTTCTACATGTATGTAAAACCATGTTTCCTAATTGGAATATAAACTTTTAAAGGTAGAGTAAAATTTCAGAAAGCTACCTTTTGAGATAGCAGATTAGGTGTTGTTGCTAGATTAATATGAAAATATTTGGGTACACCTCTCTCTTGAACTTTATTCCTGTGTCCAGGCCACGATTCTCAATCTTGACAACTTTAAGATGTGTAAACTTCAACTCCCAGAATTCCTCAGACTGCATGCTTCTACGAGTTGAAGTTCACATATCTTAAAGTTGCTCTAGGCCAGGGGTAGGTAACCTTGGCTCTTTTATGACTCCTGGACTTCAACTCCCAGAAAAGAGCCAAGGTTGCCTACCCCTGCTCTAGGCAATCTAATTTCTTTCTTCTCAAATCAGGTCGACAACATCTAGTTTATACAATATAACTATTTCAACAGTTTCTGCTGTTCTTTAATGGGGCAGAAAAACCTCAGAAAATTTTGAGCACCACATAAGTGAGTTATTTGATTAAAGTGCACCAATAGTTTACATCCAATATATGTCTGAATACAAAGGATAAATTTGTAAATATTTATCGCTTTTTAACTTGCTGAAGTCATTGCCACTTCTAGCAGATCCAACTTTAAATTTGGCACAATTGCACTCTAACTCATCAGTCTAGGAAGTGTCACTTTTATAAGTGATACACTTTTGAAATGTAAATTACGACTAATTAAAAGTTAATGAATGTAGAAAGTGTAACCGTTTTCCCTATCCTTCTTACATTACAGTATTTATCTTCACACTTGTTCATACACACTATGCAATTGTCTTCCGTAAGTTTCCAAAGAAGCAATTAACAAATTATGAATACTAGATGATTAGGGGTGAGAACTTGGTGTAGTGCAGGGGTAGGCAACCTTGGCTCTTTTATGACTCGTGGACTTCAATCCCCAGAATTCCTGAGCCAGCTGGCTCAGGAATTCTGGGAGTTGAAGTCCACGAGTCATAAAAGAGCCAAGGTTGCCTACCCCTGGTGTAGTGGTTACAAGACTGTGACTTCTAGTTCTGCTTTAGGCACCAAAGGAGCTGGGTAACTTTGAGTGAGCCATACCCTGTCAGCCCTAGGAAGCAGTCAATGGCAAACCATTTCCAAAATCTTGCCAAGGGAACTGCAGAAACTTGTCCAGGCAGTCACCATGAGTCACCCCTGACTTGAGGCACACACATAACAAAAAGATGATAGATATGGAGGTGCTCTTCCTAGTTCCATCATAATTATTGTTAGGTATACGCATAATCATTGCTTCACGTTTTAATCTGTGTGAGTAGATGTCTCTCAAAAGGTGAGCCTGCTTCCTTGATGAAAATGCTTTAGGAAGGTATATTTAGCACATTTCTGGTTGGAATAACACGTCTATTTATATCCAGTCTGTTTGTATCCTCTCCCAGAGCACAATTTATATATCATTTTTCCAGCAGACCACCAAAGTTCTCTCATGACATTTGAGCTGTAGAGTTTGAAAAATATACCAATGGGATTTTTTATCTGTAGGACTCTGCTGAATTTATTTCAGTCTGAACTGGAAGCTGAGAGTTGTATACATAGTATTTGCAATATACATATCAACATTTATTCATTTTTGAGGCTTAGATATGAAAAAGACATCTGCATTTTTACATATTTATTGTATATGGTGAGAGTAGCATCCTCATTCCAATTAAAATTTAGTAATACCACTCATCTGTACCAATGCACATGTACTGAGAGACTCAACATTGGCTTTTAAAGTCCCAAGATTACATGTCAAAACCAAGCTTTCTTACATGTTAGAATAAAAAACAAAAACAAAAATGAAGTACTATAGCAGTATTTGGCAAGTGTGGACAATTCTTTAGAAGTAGCTAAAAGTCTACATCAATTAACTTTTTTCCTGAAAAATAACACTAATCAATGGAAGTAATTCACAGCAGT